TGTACATACAGATAGAACCTTAATTTCTCTTCCGACAACCTTTTAATATATATTCCCTCGAGGGGGAAACTTGGATGATGCAGCTAATTGTCAAATCAATGCACGAATCACACAACATCTGTAGCTAAAACTAACGGCAGCAAAACAGTCCACTTTAATTGCTGCCTATTTGGTTTGTCTTTGAAGTAAGCGACCTGGTGTGGCTTGTAGGAGACTTCTGATGCCTGTCCATTTCTTAGTTTTCATTATATCGCACAGTATAATTAATTCCTGCAAGACAAGGAGCTCCTTTAATTGACTTTTATAATTAAAGGAAAAGCAAATCTGTGGCTCTCGAAAAACCATCAATAAATGTCATTTCAAATAACATGACCTTTTCTTATTTGGAAAATAACAGATTATTTATTAACCCTGCATTTGCAGTTAATTTATATTCACATTATTTTCTTTACAGTTGAAATTCAGAAATAAATGGTACTGATGTTATTTGATGTTTAATGAATACATTTCCATTTTTATGTCAGTATATAGCAAATGACTATTTGTCATATTTCAGAAAATGAACACATTTTTCAAAAAGACAATGACAGTTCTGGTAATAAGATATGAACGTATGATTCCATCAAACATGTTCATATCATTACTTATATATTCAAATGACACCTAGAAAAATATGATTATTTTGCTGTAAATGTTATCATCCTGTAAAACATCTGTAATGTTTGGGCTGACTCTTAATGTCAAGTTCATATAATGATGTAGCTGATTTAAGGGAGATGCTAAGGTTGGTCCTTGTCCCAAGTCTTCAGAAAAAGGGACTAATAATTTCCTTCAGTGCCAGATACAACATATTGTTTTATTTTTCTTTAGCAATTATAATAAATGAATATTACATATAAATTTATATGAATATTAAGAGAGATATAGGGAGAAATATGAAAGTGAATATCAACATTGTCAGAATAATTAGCTATTTATTCAACAGTTAGTTTGATTGCTTTTTCTGTTTAAGAGTCAATTTTAATATTTTATTTCAATATAGCAGTAACTGACACAATAACTCATCTTTCATTATGAATAAACCCTATTGTTTGTTTCCCTCTCACTATGAATATTATTTAATGACATTGCTGAAACATATAAATATTATATTTCATAAAACATACTCTTAATTATTTTATGTCATGATAAGCAATCACAAGTAAATATGAATATCAACTAACCATCGTACATAATGGTGACAACATAATGGTTATAACATAACAGTTATAATATAACAGTTATAACACCCATGATGCAGTTCTGCTCACCACGTCAGTACGTGACTGGTCCGGCAACAAGCTAGGATTCACATCTTCAATCTGGCCCAGTTTCATCCTTGATAAGTTTGTAACTTCATCACTAGTAGAATGTGAAAGATACTATGACTGGGAGATGGCCTGTGCGTTAATGTTATCTACAAAGTTGGAACAAGACTGTTTTCAGAAATTATTGACTTGACTACCATCAGACACAATGTATGAACAACCTTCACATGATAGCATTCAATGTACAGGGAACAGCTAATGGAATGAACGTAGTGAGATGTGTTTTATGAAATAGTTCCTTTTCAGAGTTAATCATCCAATATATACCTACATCAATAACTTACGTGATCTCAGGATGCATCTAAATTTTAGATAACAGTTTGACGATTATAATTCCAATCAGAATGATTACTTTTAAATAACATATTTCATGATTTGTTTGAGTGGCATTCTAGAAGTTGGTGATATAGAGATGAACAGACTTTATGGATGATCAACTTCTTTATTTCCACAATAGTGCCGTATAGATTCTTATACCATTCCCCCATATGCTTGAAAATGGTATAAGAATCTATACCACAATGTCACTATTGTGGAAATAAAGAAGTTGATTATCCATAAAGTTTTGTCATCTCAACATATTTCATGTTTCAAAATTGTATGTATTTATATTTAAATTTCATCACTCCTCAACTGTGTAATACTATAGTGATGTGTCCATTCAAGATGTGTTTGGAGCTTGTAGTGGTACATTGACAGATTCAACAGATAGTAGTATATTTATGTGGGTGCTTGTTGAAAAGGTCAAGCAAATGTCAGCCCCTCAGTCAGGTGTGTGTCCTAACTCCCTGCTTGTTAGAGTGAGTGAGTTCCTTTCTGCAGCAGCAGTCACATCACTCCATCGTCATACAAACAACTACGACGGTACAAGCACATTTTAACACCTACACTCAGTACACACGTCTATTCAAAGACAAATTACACTCACATACTTTTTATAATACCACATGACTGTAAATTTTATTTTGCAAAATATACACATATTGGTGTGTGATTGGCTTGTATTAAAAAATGAAGATTAAATTGAAACACAAATTCAAATTTGGCTAAGAAATTGGATCATGGTTGTATGTATAGGAATTTGGATGGAAAAGTTGTGACTCTCATGGCTTTCAGTTTTAACCTCTTACACATTAAAACAACTTCATCCTACAATTATCAACTTGATGAGTGCTTCGTTGTTTATGTAGCCAGGTAGAATACAGATGAGTCTGTAAAATATTTAGTCTGAGGTTTTGCATTTGTTTACATAGAACAGAATAGAATTCTATCTTGATATTAAATGCTGAATACAATTCTTGCCTAATTATGCAGATAAATATAAGATACAAGCATGAACATATATATAATCGATTAATGAATGAATATAAGATAAGATATATAATTCATGATTGTAATTTTTATATTATCATAATACAAACAGACATTAAATATTTTATTATTATGGATGATTTATCATACAATTTCTGTGTTTACAATTATGAATATTTTTTTAACTATTAGCATGCATCTAGCATGATGTACATTTACTACACGTTTCCAATAACAACCAGCTGTATCTGCAATCATAATACTATTTTCATGACGACTTATTAAATAAGTACATATACATTTCTATGTTCGTAACAAGACTGTCAATTTATTTTCAATTTTTCAATTTTGTCAGTATAATTACTTTTCTTTGAGTACATTCAGTGTTTTCATTACAATAAACATCAATAAACAATCTATCCTAATCCTGCTATTTCAGGAATGTTTCACCTCAGAATGTTTTCCTGTGTTAAGTCAAGTTGAGTGTTACTCTTGTCTTCACATTTGTTTTGATGAATTTAACCTGTAAAGTGGATGATATCATACACACTCTACACAGATCATATCCCCCTGGACACTACTGTTATTAAATATTAATGATAAATCATAATTCACGATAAAAATATTAAATATAGTTTTATTTCCATCATGATTGTCTTATAACCCTTTTACCTGACAATGGATGAATCTTACATCTTATTTATTTGACATAATGATATTTAAATTTATGCATTTATCTTACATTTTCCTTACATTTATGTTAATATCTCATATCTTATCTGCATAATTATGCAAGAAATGTATATCACATATATAATCATATAATAATCTTTTTCTGTGTAACAAAATGCAAGAACTCTGTATATAATTTGAATATTTCTGCATGATCCTCTACATTATCCATATAAATATGAAAGAATATAGGTATAATTATGAAAGAAACAGATTTCCGTTCATAATTTTACAGGAAAAAGGGTTGAAGATCATTATGCAAGATATATGGATGGTGTTAATCTGATATAATTTATAAACACCATTTTGTATGGGTTTTCACGATGAGCATTTGATAATCAAGTCTATTGTGAGGTTTGATGAAGCATGCATATATTTATATGGAAACAAAAACTAATCTATACCAAATCTTGTGGTAAGGCTATTGCTAATGTATGGCTGAATTAAACCCCAAAAGAGTATTAAAACAATATATGGGAAATGGAAATGATTATTATGATCACCCACAAATGTTTACCATTTTATTTTGTGTCACTGAAGAGGGTTATCAACGTGAGCAAAAGCTATAAATATTTTACACAATCGAAAAACTAGCTGAAATCAGTAAAAAGGTCCACTCTGATTTGATCGATTTGTGTAATGTAAAACCTTTATAAGTTAGTATGTATGGGTTATTGAACAATTATGTTCCAATAAATAATATAAATTGGAAATAATATACACTGGCTACATATAATGGCAGTATAGAATGTTATACTGCAGGTGCAATATACGAAAGTTGTCAATAATTCATGAGATAATTTCCTAGTGGAGAGGCTATCTGCGCTGACAATGTGTCCCATAGCGTTTGTAATTCTTATCATGCAGCGTCCAGACCCTACACAATACAGTCATCACAATGATACCTAATTGTGTATCATGTCGAAAGTTTTCTTCTCAATGTACAACTGCAGGCTAGATTTACACTGATACAAATCAGTTATCATTACCAATATCCTATCCTCTTGTCACAGGTATAATCAAATTAATCACAAGTATATCAAATATTCAAAAAAGTTATTAATAATTTTAAAATTTCATTTAAATCTTATAAACCAAATCATCTTTCATTTTAGTTATCTCTGTGCATCTCTCAAATTACTGCTTTCTGTTATTAATATGAAATTATTTTTAACAAAATAACAGAACATAATAATTATATGAAATTCATGTTTAAAGTCTTGTTAGAAATAATTAAATATCCATCATCATTTGAGAAACATGTGACTTACATCCGAGACACGTTTGTCAAAATGTCGCTGTCGAAATAATACAAAGCTTTTCATTCCAGGATTATTATAACCAAATATAACGATTTATGACCAAACTGAATAATCATTGTCCAAATATGGTTTCATGAATTTGAACACACTTTCAAATTTGAACTGGAGATTGTCAGCAAGCCTTTTTTGAATCCCCATCAGTGCTCCTGACTGACCATCTCTTGCAGGCCTCGGGAATGTGCTTGCCTGATATCATACAACATTGGCATCTGAGTAAACTCTGAAATTGACAGGATGGAATGTAAGATGTGGAAGTGGAATTTCCTACCTGAAAGCTGTGGAGAATCATGAAAATACTCCATCTTTTCAGCCTGAGTTCCCTTCCAATCTCTGGTATTGAAGCAGAGGCGACATCTCTTCAAAAACAAGAAATTCCTTGAATTAGCTGAGGTGCATTTAAACATTTGATCGAGTCCGATACCCTCTTTCAATACTCCACACATACAAAGAGGATCAAGATGACCGCATTTATTTCAACAGATATATCTATTCAGTCATGTGTTAAGTTGTTATATCTCATTATTTTAGATGTAATATGAATATTCTTTATTAATGTAATAAAATTATAATCTGATAAAATCATAAAGAATTTTGACAATGCCTATAGTTATGTATTCAGAATTAGAAAAAGTTACTCTTAATATCACATGACATATAAAAATGAGTCAAAAGCTGATATTTTATATTTTGAAAGAACACAATTTATTTGGTGTTGTTCATGAGCACTACTAGTAAAGGGAGGTAACTCCCATTAAGCTATGCTCAGGTATGTTTACATCTCAAGTCAGCTGGTTCTTTGTAATCAATACCGGATTTAAAAAAACAAATTCTCACATCATTGCTTTTACAATCAGGAATCTGATATTTCTTCACCTTTTTCCGTTTGATTGGAATATTAAAAATAGTTACATTAAATGCCTGGTCTTAAATGTTAATGTTAGTTTTCATGGTAAAATATTTCTCTTTAGTATTAATTCAGATTACAATAGTTTAAAGTTATTTTAACCATATTTGCTTGCTAAAAAAATATTCCAAATGTGTTAACCCTCACTCATTTTGCCCATGCAGATTCAGTTTAAAACCGATCTTCAGCAACGTATGCTGGTTGTAACAGGAGATCAATGGATAAGGTGGACTTTGTTGGTGCATGCCATCAATCTCAGTTGTCTAGATTGATGCTCATGATGTCAATCACTGGATTGTATGGTCCAGATTTGATTATTGACAGAACTATTCAAATAACTTAGTTAAGTTAAACAAGCCAAACTCATTCACGCAGTAGACAATTACAATCTCTGCTTTTGAATCATTAGCCTAAGCATGACATTTGACCTTACCTTCAGCTGAGGTTTCCCATTGAGAGTGTTCTTCTGGGAAACCCTTCTCATTCCCTCACTCCATCACAAATCCACACACCTACCCCTCCCGTATAATATATGACCAGTCCCTAGGACCCATGTGGGGAATTGACAGGGTTTCACATTGTACCCATTTGGGAAATTGACAGGGTTTCACATTTCACCATGTGGGGAATTGACAGGGTTTCACATCGTACCCATGTGGGGAATTGACAGGGTTTGGCATTGTACCCATGTGGGGAATTGACAGGGTTTCACATTGTACCCATGTGGGGAATTGACAGGGTTTCACATTGTACCCATGTGGGAAATTGACAGGGTTTCACATTGTACCCATGGGGAATTGACAGGGGGCATTGTTGACAGGGTTTCACATTGTACCCATGTGGGGGGAATTGACAGGGTTTCACATTGTACCCATGTGGGGAATTGACAGGGTTTCACATTGTACCCATGTGGGGAATTGACAGGGTTTCACATTGTACCCATGTGGGAAATTGACAGGGTTTCACATTGTACCCATGTGGGGAATTGACAGGGTTTCACATTGTACCCATGTGGGGAATTGACAGGGTTTCACATTGTACTCATGTGGGGAATTGACAGGGTTTCACATTGTACCCATGTGGGAGGTCAACATGGCTTTACATTGTACCCATGTGGGGAATTGACAGGGTTTCACATTGTACCCATGTGGGAGGTCAACATGGCTTTACATTGTACCCATGTGGGGAATTGACAGGGTTTCACATTGTACCCATGTGGGAGGTCAACATGGCTTTACATTGTACCCATGTGGGGAATTGACAGGGTTTCACATTGTACCCATGTGGGAGGTCAACATGGCTTTACACTGTACTATTTCTATCAACTGTTGTGATGAGTTGTAACCCCAGAACATAGATACAATGTGAAGTACATTCCTAGTTTCCAAGAGGCACCATATTGGTCAATACCAACATACCAAACCAATCTCATTTTCTCCCTCCAGCCAATAGGTGGACCATCCCCACCCCAACCCCCGTCCCAGTCACCATGTATGTCAGTTACTCTGACAGAAGCCAGTGAGGACCATCAACTGGAAAATGTCACTAAGCAGATACACAATGATCACTTTAACTCGACATGTTAAAGTCTAGTCTACCGAGGCTCAGACGAATTTGCACTCTTAGAATTTTATCCCTTTTGTCAACTTATATCTAATCTGTCACACAGACCCTGATACAAATATATCCAAGAAAGCCCATGCAAGACTAGAATATGTGGCAAGTCTAGAGTTCCACAGTTTCAGGATTAATTAAGAAAGTATCTGGATTCCTTTATATCATATTTTATTTTTATAATTTAGGAACAGTTTTTTCTGTAAAATATGTTCATTTCAGTGACAAGATATTAGTCTAATTCAAATCTTGTGGAGGATTCTACAGAAACAACATCTCAATTTCAACATGTGTTTCTGATTTTCAGTTGTTTTGAAATTTGTCCAGAAATCTTATTTCAAAATAATGGCTAAAATAGATATTTTGTCCATTTTGTGATACAAAAGACAAAATCAATTACTGCTTACATGGTTATTATTTTCTTACAAATAAATTATTTGATAAAGGTTAACATTTATAATTAAACTAGATCAATTTTAAAAATAAATCTATCAAATCAGTAAAATCTATCTTTTAACATTTTTATCATTGTGTTTAGATACCAAGGAACCTCCAACCATTAATCAAAGTTAAAACACTAGCAGCTTCTTGCCACAAAAACATGACATAAAACCAGTCAAACTATTCAACCTATAAATGTTCTCTTTGAAAAAAAAGCTGACTTTGAAAATGTTAGCGTGGCATGCTTACATCACCATTAATCAGGGAAGGACCCCCACTTACAAATCTTAAAAAGAGTCTGCGAGCTAATACATCTTCCATTGACATGTTTCAGTTTTAATTCAACCACAGTCAAATATCAAAAGATTAGCAAGATTATTTGTGACCCGAATTTATAAAACAATGGCATATAAAAAGATATATTGAAGTAGATTAATGGAGCTGTAAAATCTTTTAAAAAAAGTTTTCATTCATTTTCTCAAATCATTTGTCATGATCATGACGTTGATAACATATCTGTCTTACACATTTTTCACCTTTTCTCGATCTTCATTTACCATACATATTTTTTCCAGTTGAAAAAAAAAAGCATAATGTCAAAAAAATAAATGCCTCCAAACTTTTTAAAACCGATCTACACCCAAGCACATTTACGATGTCATCGACATCCCTGAACTTTTTAATAAAACTTAATCTCCAAGGGGAAACTAAAGGCGGTGAATAAAAAAATCACAAAGCCAAAATGTACATCAATTTACTGATACTTTTAGCCTGAAACATCAAAGTCGAACCTCTCTGCCAAAAAAGTTTCAAACTCGCAGAATTGATTGGTGACACATTGGATGCCAGTGAGCAAAACTCAGTTATGCCGCAAGCAGGGGACGAATTAATAACCAACGCTATTCATCTCCGACTAGGAATGGCGGAAAGAAATTTATTTTGGCTATGCTCAGGCCAGGCCAATTCCAATTTCATTACAGCATAAAGTCCAGTTATCCCTACCAGTCCTCAACACTTTTATCATTAGTCATTAATTCATTCAGCCAAAACTGAGCGGGATCATTTTCTCGCGAAAAATAGTGTGATTTCTTTAGAAGCGTCCATTTGCCGTCTCGAATCCATCATCTAGGCTTCCTCAAGACATTGGTTTTGGAGCCCCCCCAAATGCCTTCTCATGCTCTCGCATTGACGCTATGATGCCGTGCATACATGCCATAATCAACAGCGCATTCAAAATTGAATGAAAGATGATCCGTACGTCGGCAATATTTAAGAAACGGCATTAGATATCTTCTGAAGAAAGAGTCCTCGGATAGCAGAGAGAGACTGCTTGAATTATGCATAAAATCAGGAAGTCAGATGGACCTGGGATGAATAATAGGACACCTTCCCTTTCTTCCCCGACAAATTCTCTCTATTTGAGTGATATTGAGCTTAAACTAATTACGCTGCCCCCTCCAATACAAAGGACGCGCATTTCCGTGACCTGTCTGGCCTCCTCTATTCTACAAATTGATTTTCAGTGCACAACGATATGAATATGAGCCAAAATATCAGTGATAAATATCAAGCCGTTCTCAAATTGATTTAGGCCTGACATTAGTGTCAAAGGGCCTATTCCCATGTTGGGGCGGCCATGCGAGATAATTTTTTTGCAAAGTCGCAGGGACTATTACATTGTGATGAACGAGTTGTATGCACACACATCATTAAATGTATTTAACCTCGCCCCCAACTGACGGAGGCAAATAGCTTGCCTGGCACTGAAGCATGCGTATAACTCAGGGCCAATCTCTCATCTGTGCATCATAGCCCTTGCCACAGATCATATCGTTTTGGAATGTGTGAATGATAGAGAGAGCGGCAAAGACGAACATATGCAGGGACTCGCGAAAATATGATTACTGTCACGTCAATCCCACGATGCCCCAGGCAGGCCCAGCTGCCATGACAAGGATGGAGCAGCGCCTCTCTGTGTCAGAAAAACTCTTCGGCAGATAAACCAGGACAATAAAAAGCTAACCTCTTGACAGCTACAATTGATAACTGTAGCTATTTTTCAAAACTTACAATTCAATGTTAGAAAATGATGACATATGAAATTTCAAGAAGTCAAGTTTCCAAAGAAAAGGGATATTTTTATCGCATATTTCAACGATTTCTAAAAGGAATAAATAACATTGTGGATCAAAATGTGCAAAACATCTGCTTGGGATTATTTTTTTTCTTCATTTCACCATTACCTTGCTTAAAAACATTTTCCGGGCAATTATTAAAGGACTAACTCATTGTATTGTTCATATGAGCCAATGGAGAGAATTTGAAAAAAAAAAGATTTTGTAAAAATATTCAACACTGATCAAATGTTTAGAGTTTTTTAATCATGTGTGATGAAAA